GGTCTCCCGGCTGCCCCGGGCAGAGGGGTTAGGGTTAGGGGATCCAGGCCTGGGAGTGGGGTGCCCGGAAGGACGGCAGTGCTTGCAAAGGGCCACCTGCCCCCCCGGGGCTTGTCCTGGTCCCTCTCCCGGGGGAGGGGAAATGACCCTGAACTCCGAGGCGATGCAAACAACTGAAGGCGGGTGGGGATGAATTGGAGAGAATGGAGTGTGTCTGCCCTGTTTCGCTCTACTTCTTAAACTCCCCCGCAAAATATAAATCAGCCCCCAGTGTGAGCCAGACCTCTCCTGGGGTCTTCCGCAGGCAGGGGATAGGGATCGTCCCCGCAATAGGAATCGCGCTGAGCCCATTTTGCAGAATTTGCGCCTGGCATTGAGCCCTGACTGCTAGCGCTGTTTCTTTTCTTTTCTAGGTCTCTTTTCTTGGCATCCTGTGTTCATGTCAATAGCGGTAAGTTGCAGTCCATCCCCTCTCCCCACCCCCACCACATGCACACCTTGCACACATGCGCACACACCTTACACACACGCACACACCCCCACCTTTATGTCCCATAAACATCCCAAGCTTTATATCTGCCTTGCATCGCTTTTGGGGATGTTAGCGTGCAAATCTAGCTTCCCTTGCCAGGCTCCTGCTGGCTTGGGAACCAGATGGCACCTCCCTCAGCAATATGTATTCATTTGACGCTAGAGAATCATAAATCTGGGAGCGATGCACAGTAGCAGAATGGGCCTGTTGGGTTTGGGCTGTGATCCACTGCAGGCACCCGCAGGAAATGCCGCCTTCCTGAGGACTTGCATGTCTGAGCTAGCTCCTTTTCACCCTGAAGTTTGATTCCCAGAATTTTAGTGTGAGTGTGGTGCTCGGAGAGAAATGTACATAGTATTTCTCCAGTAAAGCAAATGATCTGGTGTCTGTAATGATTTTATTGCCTTTTGCTAGTCAAGACAGCACCCTCTTGAAGCCTAAGTGTACATCAGTCGCTCTGCTCTTAGCTGTAAGCAAGCTTTCCTTGGGTTTCAGACTCATTTCAGAGCTCCTGATCAGGGTGCAAGCTGACTGAAAGGGATGGCATGGGGCAAAGGGATTTTCTTTGGAGCAGAATGGCTGCTAGCAAGCTTTGGGAAGATGTGCTGTGCTGCCGGGGGATGCTGAACATCCAGTAGGACGTGAATCCCCTGAAGTTGCCAGAGTTGGGGTCTGTTTCCCTGACATGAAATAAGAGATGAGAATTACTCAGATGGGTTGACTGGACTCCAGTCCCCAGTTTTCAACACCTAATTTAAAAACAGCTCTGAAGGAAAGCAAGCAAACAGACAACATTTAACTCAAACTCCAAACCTCCAGGGAAAACTTCTTGCCTTGACAGGCCTTAGGGCAGAGATGTCAGAGCCCCCAGAGCTTGTCGTGGCCTGGACCACCCACCTCTGTGGGCTAGATTTGGCTCATGGGGCTCACTGCTAGTGCTATGCTGGTGTTAATCCCTGCTGTTTTGCTATAGCTCCAAAACCCAGTGAGTTCACTTTGCTTGCCTCCCTCCCCACCCTGATCCACTGCTGACATTGGGAAATGTAGCCCCTGTTGGAAGCCAGCATCAGTGGCGGGGAAAGAGATGAGCGTCAGCAGTGTTAATTCCCTGGGTTGCAGAGCTGTGTTGAAACAATGGCTCTGGTAGCTGTAAGTACAGATGCCACTTGGATCACCACTTTGGGGTTGCCCAGCTCGTGGGAGGCCCTGCAGTCTCTATCCAGCCCATGAGAAGTCCCTAGGGCCCCCATGAGTTTGACATCCCTGGCTTGGGGAACAGCCATGCCCTGAAGATATCCTTAAAAAAAAAAATCTGGCCAGAAATTATTGTCTTGCATCTTCCCCACTTCCTGCCTCTTCTTCCTACTTCTTGCCCTAAGAGTAGCAACATGGATAGTACCAGGGAACATCCCAGCCAATGGGGCTCATTCTATACCCAGGATTCACCTCAAAATGGATTTTTTAAAATTAAAAATACCACCTGGAAAGAAATGGGCAGTGCATGCAGGCCAAGTGCAGCTCACGAGCACTGCTGCTGTTTCTTATGGAGCTTGACTTGGAGTTGCAAAGCCCCAACATTGATGATCTCTGCATAAGACAGCACAGGAGTCTGCATGATTTGCTAAAATCATTGTAATTCAGGAACAGAAAATAGCTTTCCACCATGTTTACGCTGACCTGTCTTGTCCCTTGCTGGAAGGATGCTCTTGGCTGTGGTCATTTAATGACTTGGCTTGTGAAAGCTACTCAGGTCTGGAAGTATTGACTCTCTGTCACCTGTCTACAGTGCCCTTTGTGACCTTCTGCCTTGGGGATGACATGCTGCCCCAAGCAAGTCCCCTGATAAGTGTTTCTGCTAGGAGGGTTGTTGTGGTGCCCACCTATTCTGTTGCTAACAGCATCCTGTATCCCCAGTTCTGCCTGTGCATGACCGAAGCCATCCTGCTCTTCTCGCCGGAGAACTCTCCATTCTGCTTCTGCTCCCGCAAGGTGAAGGTGCGGCTCCACTGGACTGCACAGACATTGGTGATTGTGGCAGCCACGCTGGGCCTGGGCTTCATCATCTCCAGCAAGAACCGGAGCGAGTACCCGCACTTTGTTTCATGGCACAGTATCCTGGGCATCGTGACTCTCATTGCCACCTGCGGGCAGGCTCTTTGTGGGCTTTGCTTGCATTTCCCCCAGCTGCTGAGGGTCTCCTCTGTGGCACGTCTAAGGCTGTACCACATTGCCTGTGGCCTGGTGGTCTACCTGCTCGCCACCTTTACTGTGGCCCTTGGGATCTACTCGGACTGGTTCCAAGCACAGATCAAAGGGGTGGCCTGGTATGTCTGCCTGGCACTGCCCTTCTACCCAGCCCTCGTGGTCATGAACCAGATCATTAGCATTTACATCCCAGCAAAGAGGGGGAATATCTGAGTGCTGGCCTGTGTTTCTGCCCATCCCAGGGCCGGAGCACCAGCCTGCCCCTCTCCTTTTGTTACAGGGTGTGCACCTGTGTGCAGTGCGTGTTTGAGGGATATCCCTGTGCCTTATACTGATAATGTGTTTCCCTTTGCATATATAGTAGAGTTTTCTAGTTTCCAGAGTTTGATCTGTCCCTTTATTTCTCATGAAAGCACTTCCACATTTAAAAAAAAATATAGGGGAGCCTGGGATTTGGTGTCCAGCTCCTGGCTCAGGTCGGGTCTCTGCTGCCCCCAGAAGCTGGGATGGCTCTGCCTTGCTTTCCTGGGGTAAAGACCCTACCCATTGGTGCAGGGTGAATGGCCCCTGGGAGTCTGCTTCAGTTTGATGCTTAGACCTGTGACAAGTGAAAAGGTTAGGCAGGAGGATGCCTGAGTGAATGGTTGCTGGCACTTGGCAATAGACCCAAATTTGTCTTTAAGATGGATGCATTTTTAATCTGGGTTTTTCACAGTCTGCCCTAAGGCTGCAATCTTTGCTGTGCCTGGGAGCTTACCACAAAATCTGAGGCCCCAGTCCTAGGGCTCAGGGGGCCACTGGAAGGGTATGTTTTGATGCTGGATGAGATGGGGAGTGACAGTCCTGGGCCTGTTTTGTGGTCAGTGAGGTGAGCTAGTCTAGGCATGTGGGCAGGTGCCTCCATCCTGTGCTAATGGGAGTCGCACAGCCTGGTGGCACTGATGCAGGAAGCTGCAGTCCTGATGGACAGGCGGTAAATGCGCAGCAGGTAAGTGAAGGTCTCTGCTGCATGTGGCCATTGGTGCTCTGCACTTTTCCAGTTTACACACAGACTGGTAAAGGAGTGGTGGGGTGGGCACCGGGGACTGGGATTTTACCTTGGGCACCGGGGAGTCACTCTGGAGCCTCTGGTTCCAGTGCAGCCCTGCTGGAAAAGGGGCTGTTTCAGCAGCTAGTTGCAATACCTGCTTTCTGCACCTTGCTGCCTTGGGTGGTGCCAGGCTGTCTGCACCTTGCCTTGGAGCAGAGGCCAGGGGGAGTTGTGTGTACCTGGGCTAGCTCAGGCCAGGGCTGCTGTAATGGGAAGACACCAAGCTTACTATTTCTGTGGTTTGCTAGGGGGCTGGGGAGGGCTTTGCTGATGTAGCCCACAGATAGATTTATTAACTCTTGGGGCTTTTTGACTTGCAACAGCATGGTCTACAGTTAGCAGCAGAACTCCTGGGGCTGTGTTTAGGGTGTGAGCCGGAAGGCTTGCACAGATCCTGTTTAAATATCCTGCTGTGTATCATCTCAGGATTGTAAGGGCCTTCTGCCTTCAGTAGCTCAGAAATGAGGTCTTGCATTGCACCTCCTGAACAGGGGTACTCTCCTTTTTGGCAGTCTGCTTCCCGTTTCATTTGCCATCAGTATCACCAGTGCCAGCGTGTGGGTCTGTGCATGGCCCTGAAGGAGGAGGAGGCTGATGAACCAGTTGTCCATTTAACCTCTTCTTTCTTTAATACTCTTCAAAAGCGGGGTGAAAGGATGAGTCAGGGGCAGTTGTGGAGAGGCAGGAGAGCAGCCTGGGGTGCTAGCCCATTGGTAGTATGCAACAAACACCCAAGCACCACCCCAATAGGGTGATTTGAGATTTGAACCTGGGATCCCCAGTGGCGCAGCGCTGAGCTGAAGGAGTAGCTCTGCTAGGTGACAGCTTTGTAGGTTGCTCTTCTCTGCAGAGCACAGCCACTCTGCTAGTGCGGGTGACGCTTGCAGGAGGAAGGAGCTCGTAGCTGTGTGCATGGCGGGGTGCCTAAGAGGAGAGGGGAGGAGACCCACGTGGTAGTTTTGGTGCCCTTTGATCTCTCTGGGCGTCATCACTGTTCTGCATAAACCCTTGTGCTGTTTTCTGTTCTGTCCGGCCCAAGAGGAAATGAAACAGCACAGAGATGTCTGTGTGGACTGCCAGCGGTGTCTGTCTGCCCCACCTTCTCTTGGCCCCAGAGCCCTGTGTTTGCAATGGGACCTTCTGAATTAACCCCTCAGACCCAGGAGTGAGCAACAGACAGGAGCAGTCAAGTACAGGCTTCCTTTTTGACTCTTTCTGCTCTGTTAACCCCAACAAACCCCTCCTCATATTTGTGTTAGGGTGTCCAGGGATCCTGCCTGAGCTGATCCTCTTGCAAGCTAAGCCTTGCCTGCTGCTTGGGAGTGAGAACTTTTCCCATCTCGGGGGTCACTGAAGGATGGTAACAGGCCATTGCAGCCATATTTCTTTCAGGTGGTTTGTAGCCTTCATATCGAGGGTGCTTCCCTAGGAGATAGGGGAGACCTACCCTCCGCAAACCCAGGGTTGGGCCTTTCAGGGCCCTACGCTAATATGCGCCTGTCCTAGTGTAAGGCTTTCTACCTCGGGCTCCTGTTCCCAAGTGGTTCTTCCTGGCTTGCCACAGGGTGCTCGCTGGGCTTTCTCCTCTGCAGCTTTAGCCACACGGCCTTCCAGTTTTAGGAACAAGCTTCTCTCATCCTTTGTGTTTGTGTTGTGCAGCACCTTGCACAAGGGGACTCCCATCTCTGTTAGGACCCCTTGGTGATATGCAAGTGTAGGATAAAGAAGCCATCCCTCCTTTGGAAGCCCATAGAAAGCAGCAGCTTTCCCTGATGCTGCGGGGGAAATCTTAGGAGCACTGCACCTTGCTCCCCACCTTTCAGACCCTGATGGTTGCCATCAAGGGGATGCCGTCCACGGAGATGTTAATTGGGGCTGGGGTTTGTACAGCAGCATGCAGGTTAGCAGGTCATCAGGCACAGCGAGTATCGCAATGTCTGCCTCCATAGACCTTACTGTGAAGGCCTTGTCCCTGTCCATGGCAGCAATGGAAGTGCACAATAGCTAGGGGCAGAGGGAAGCAGGTAGGCAAGTGACGCGGTTGGACGGACTGATGGGGGCACAGATGGACTGAAGAGTCCCTCGGTGATCAAATCCCACAGCCGCTGGCTTTCGCTGTTCAGACTTGGATGCCAGCTTGCTGAGTGAGCCAGTATCCTGTCCTTGTAACTGCCAGCTTTAAAAGTGGGGCTCTGGGAGTGGGTAAGAGAAAATATCCTGGCTGGTTAGAGGTGTCTAAAAGGCCTGTAGAAGGACGTGCAGGGGGGGATGGGGGAAAGGGAGACACAGGGAGTAGGATTCAGACTCTGTGAAACATGATAACTCCAGTGATAAAGGCTCACAAGTAAAGTGGGACAAGGGAGCGTTTTCATTTTCCATGATCTCAGCCTCCCGGCTACTTCTGATCACGCTGTACAGCAGCTTGAACCCACGGTACTTCTCCAGAGGACTTCTCCCCGCCCCCCGGTCCGAGTCTGGACATAGCCTCTGTTCCTCTGGGGGCTGCTGAATTTCAGATAACACTGTAACTGTTCAGAAATGTGTTTGGCCTCTGTATCCTGTGTGTTGTGTGTCAGCCTGTACTCTGTGCACTTAACCTGTGGCCCTCGAACAACTGGGCTTCATTGTGGGACGTACTTTTTGTGTATAACGAAGAAAAGCATTGGCCCCAAACCTGCCTGCTGTGTGTTCTGTCTGTATGCGCGGGGGGTGGGGATGTGTGGCAGTGTGGTATGTGGGGTGCTTCTGTGTGTCCCAGCTGGACACCTTATGGTGCGGGATGCTGGAAGCCTTTTGTCTTTATTTAAAACAGGGCTGTCCAAGTGATGATGCGTGGGCTGCATGCAGTCCCTGAGCGGTTAACCTGCAGTCCCCGTGCTCCCGTCATTACTCTCCTGCTGCTGCTGCTGGGATCTCCTGGCTCCCCCTTCCTCCTCCAGCATCTTGTCTCCAGCCCTAGGATCTCTCCCTGTTCCTCGTTAGGCTGCTGTGACTGGGGATCCCACGCTGCCTTTTTGCCTCACTTTCCCCTGCTGTAAGTGGGGTTCCCCTCACCTGTCTTGCACAGCTGGTGCAAAACTTAAAGGACCCTTTGTGATCAGAGCATGGTGGAGGGGCCAGGCTCCAAGGGCAGAAGCCTCTAAAATGATCTTGTTGCATTTGGTTCTCGAATGCAGTAATACTGTAGCAGCCCACAGCTGTCGCAGAGCTGGTGGAGCTGCAAGAGGAATCGGTGACATTCTGCTCTGCTTTTGCACCTGTCCTCGGAGGCTCTCAAACACTTTACAGCCATTAATCAACTAACTCTCTTGACCCCGCTTCCCCTTGCTGGCCGGCTCTATGACCATGTCCACAGGGGGTGCACGCAGATGGAAGGTTTGAAAACTTTCAAAGTGTAACAGGGTTTGAAATGTTTAAAAAATGGAGCGTTTTGGCTGCGGCTGGATGTACAGCTCCCTGCCGTGACCTGCTGCCAGCACCATGCCAGTATGCAGGGTAAGACTGAGGCTTGCCAAGAGTTCCCTGCAAATTAATGGGAACAGAGCCCAGATGTGCCGATTCCCCCTGTTCGTCCTTCTGAGCTCAGTTTGAAGTCAGGAAAACAAGAGCAGTGCCCATGTGGGAGAGCTGACAGCACTGAGGGCTGAGATCAGTGTCAGGGAGCTCCTCTGATGGGCACCCGGATTTCCTCCAAGGGAGAGGAGGAGGAAAACAGCTTCTCCGAAAAGCAGGGGAAGACCCTGTGTCCCATGGCAGACACGGTTGGAACATATTGGGATGCGTTTGTCTGTGGTACTGACACGGCCTTTATTTTCACAGTCTCTGAGCAGCTTGTGACCTTTAATATGTTTATTCTGAAGCCCGCTCCCGCACCGAGAAGCAGGATAGTGCTATGATCCTGAAGGTACAGATGGGAACTGAGTCAGAGACACTAAGCAACTAAGGGGTTGTGGCACCGTGCTGAACTGAACCTTCGTCTTTCATGTGCCAGGCTTGCATTGCAAGCAGACAACAGGCCATCCTTCCTCTCATCATGCCCACGATACGTTGGCCTGTCAACACCACTGGTGCTAACAGCGGGACCCTGCCACTGCATCTCCTTGGCACCAGAGAGCATGCATGGCTCAGGCTGAGCGTGGCTGAGATGGAGGATGCCGACTGCCCAGGAGGAGTTAGCAGTTCCCTGGCTGCATTCCTGGCTTGGGCGCAGACTGAAAGGAGTTGGGGGTGCTAGTGCGGCGATGCCCCATGTGGGGGAGCTCTTGGCAAAGGCTTGGTGTTGGTTGAGCTTTTAGAGTGCCTGGAAGGATGCCCCCTCTTCAGGGTGACATGAAATATTCCACGGCTCAGCAATACGGCGAAGGCTCATCAATCCTGCATGTAAACCCCCCTGACTCAGCTGCAGAAAGCAGTTCCCTCCACGCTTGCTCGGGAATATGAGGGGAGGCTGGGTACAGCTGTGCTGTGCTCCCTTCCTGGGGAGGAAAGCTGGGAGGGAATGAGCAAGCTGCCGGTCTGCAGAGCTTGCTCTTGGAGCATGCAGTTGCCTCTCCCTCCACCCCTCTCCATGCTGCAGCAGCACCATTAGTGACCTAACACCAGTGTCCTTCCAGGCAGGGCCAGAGGCCAGGTTCCTTGAAGGTGTGCGAGAGTCCTGGATCACAAAGCTGCCCTTGTTGCTGACATGGAGTCATTCACCATCACTCTTCGAGCTTGGAGGTTGTCCGCCCAGATGGCTCAATAATGTGTGAAACAGTCATCCAGAGGTTGCCGTAACACAGCAGAATCCCGCAACCCAAGTGGGGAAAAAAGGATTATCTGATGGGCAGTCCCCCTGAAAGGATGGAGCAGATGCATGTCTCCTCTCCCCAGATGTCCCTGGGTCACCCTGACCTTTGGGTGTTATCAGAGCTGATCTCCTGTGGCCTTGTTTTTATGGACCATCTTCTTGTGAGGGAATCAATGATTTGCCAGTGGGGTGCTAGCTCTGTTCAAGCGTTTGGCTAATCTTAACCCATGTCCCCCTGCTAGACCCTGGGACCATTGATGGCTATCAAGGCCAATCTCTTGTGAAATGCCAGGCCAACATTTTTTACTGTATGGAAAGCAGATTACGAACCTCCACGTGGCAGCAAGATGAGATACCAGTGCAGGTGGAGGTAAGGTGATGCAAAGTTAGAGCCCTGTACGAATGCTTGGAGGGCTGGACAGCAGGGAGCTTTCCCATGGTGCCTCTCAGCCAGACCAGGGGGAGAAGTCATGGTGACTGCAGCAGCTGGGTACTAGCATTCACTTGCCTTAGACCCCAGCTGGGCCATTGCAGCTTGCTACTGGGAAACATTGCTGACTGCTGTTCTAGAGCAGTAATTCTCAATCCTTTTAGACTCAAGGATGTGCCAGGTCTGAGCTTTCCATCCTTTATTTGATTATGGAAAAATAAAAGAGCAAATCTTCTGGTACAAAGAGCTCAGGAAGACACAGCAGGGTAGAATGGTCTTAACACTGGATTCTTGTAGGAAATCTCTGGGTTTATTTTGGGAATCGCATGAAAGTGTTTTGCACAACAACTGTGCTAATATTGCATGGCACCCTTAAGAGTCTTGCAGCACCTCAGGGGGCTGTGGCTCCCTGGTTGCAAGTCTGTTTTAGAGATTCAGCGGACGTGCTTCAGGTCTAGAACATGCTGCTGGTCCCAGGTCTGTCACTAAAGGCATAATCCCTCCATAATTAGCAAAAGTACCTCTGCCAGTGGGGAAACAGCAGCCCCTCCTTGTCCCTAGCACATCAAGATCAGGTACTTCCTGACCCCTGGTACCTTAGCATCTCGGCTTAGCAATTGCCTTGACTAAGGCAACTGTGCTCTTTGCCTTAGTCATTTTTGCAGTCCTCCTCTGTGGGGTGGGGAAGGTCTATTATTCCTTGGACCTGCTGCTACTCCTCCTCTTCTCAGAGTTGCTCGTTGGGCAAAGTTAAACCCTGCAGGGTTTCAGTTGTATGTGCTGCAGTTCTCTGTAGCCTGATGGCCACAAGTTAACTGAGGAATGGTCCAGAGCAGACCTCATCCTTTGACAGACAAATGAACAGTGGAGCTTGGTGGGGCCTGTCTAGCAAGTGAGCAGGGACTGCTCAGTCTGCTTTTTTTCAGCTTGGAGTGAACATGCTATCCTTTGAGATGGCAAAGTCTAATCTTGGCTTCCTCTTTGCTCAGTAGTGCTGGAGATGGTACAGCTCCCTCCCCGGGCGGGGCTGGGATTCACTTCTCTCACTAGAAGACTCCAAGTCATTTTCATCCCAGCACAAGCCATTACTACTATTCAGTGAGATGCTGCTAAACACACCCTCCTTCGAGTTGTTCAGGCCAGGGTTCATGAAATCCCCTCCCTGTTCTTCCGTTGTAACGAGCCATTTGCCCACCGACCCCTTCTCATTGGGCTCTCCATGGAGACCAGAGGGGTAACCCCCATATTTCTAGCTGTAGCTGGCTGGCTGACAAAGGCTTGCAGTATATTGCACACTCCAGGCTGGGAGAGTCTGCAGGCTTGCCGGGGACTACAGCCAGCTGCTGGCAGTCAGGAGGGATTGATTGCAGGCTGCCTAGGAGAACTGGACCAGCTGCAGAGGATGATTAGCTGGTCACAGGAAGTTAAAGGTGTCAGGGGCTGGGGACTGAGAAAAAGTGAAGGAGCTTGGCTAGTAGTGGCAGTACTAAGCCAAGGAGTCTCCCAGGGTCTGGCAAAAGGCCCAGGGCTGCAAGGCTGGAGGCAGTACTACCATGAGACCAGAAGAAGGAACTCATGTAGGAGAGAGAAGGAAGATTGTGCTGCGGTGCTGAGAGAACAGTATGAAGCCAGCAGCATCTTCTTGGGGTTTGGGGACAGACTTCAGGACTCTGAATTGCCCTGTATGGACGTGTTTATGCTTTGAGGACTGGTTTATGTTAATTCCTGTGTGGCGAGAGTGCTTGAGGGAAAATGTACGGTGTAGGAGACTTAAGTTGAGTGGCCTCCTCTCTAGTACTGTGCCACTAAGCTAGGTGCTCTGACTACTGTTCCAAATGCAGAGACTGTCCTGGGGGTCCCTGCCTATTAATGGAAGAGGAGGCTGATGGGTTTGGTTAACTGCTTCCTAGTCCATGCAGCTTCCATAGAGAGGACTGCTGCAGGCTGGGAGGCAGTCGGGGAAGCAGTTCTTTCCTGTGGGAAACCCCTGGGAAGCTTTCTCCACTGTGTTTGGGTCATTCTTGTTCTGCTCAGTATTAGACTGGCCCAAGAAGCCACAGCTGAGAACAAGGCTCCATGGACCAGGTGCTCCATGAATTGATGATAAGAAGCAGTTCTTGAACTGAGATGTCTACTACATAAATATGCCGGACAGATGGTGGGAGAAAGGATGAGACACAGAAGTGGGAGGGTGGGTGCTGTCACAGACCTTCGGTGACTCACCCAAGGTCATACAGGGAGTCCGCAGCAGAGCTGGGAACTGAGCTCATATCTCCTTGTTCTTAGGGCTCAAACCGCTGGCTCATTTTTTCCTTTCAGATGCTGACTGATCTTTACTTTATACTGTGGCCTGGCCCTTTCTGCATCTTTTCAGGTGCAAGTCAGCTGGCTCAGCCTCTGCAGCTCCCTGCTGTGCTATGTGCCCTCTTCCTCACTCCAGACTGCTGCGG